AATAAAACATTTTTTTGACTAATGTTACAAAATACGACAGTAACAACAATACGACAGTGAGGGGAAACTGGGTTTCCCCTCATTTGGGTGTCAACATTAGTTCTGAAAACATTAACAATATATATTGCTCAAGGTGACTGGCGTCCGGCCCTACACTTACGATGGCTGAAAGTCACTGCAACCATGTTTTTTTAACTGTATTTTTTTGTATGCGTAACGAAAGATTATTCTTATGAAAGTTGCAAATGGATACAGAGTGTGTGTGTGTGTGTGTACTCACCTAGTTGTGTTTGCGGGGGTTGAGCTCTGGCTCTTTGGTCCCGCCTCTCAACCGTCAATCAACAGGTGTACAGATTCATGAGCCTATCGGGCTCTGTCATATCTACACTTGAAACTGTGTATGGAGTCAGCCTCCACCACATCACTTCCTAATGCATTCCATTTGTCAACCACTCTGACACTAAAAAAGTTCTTTCTAATATCTCTGTGGCTCATTTGGGCACTCAGTTTCCACCTGTGTCCCCTTGTGCGTGTTCCCCTTGTGTTAAATAGACTGTCTTTATCTACCCTATCAATCCCCTTCAGAATCTTGAATGTGGTGATCATGTCCCCCCTAACTCTTCTGTCTTCCAGCGAAGTGAGGTTTAATTCCCGTAGTCTCTCCTCGTAGCTCATACCTCTCAGCTCGGGTACTAGTCTGGTGGCAAACCTTTGAACCTTTTCCAGTTTAGTCTTATCCTTGACTAGATATGGACTCCATGCTGGGGCTGCATACTCCAGGATTGGCCTGACATATGTGGTATACAAAGTTCTGAATGATTCTTTACACAAGTTTCTGAATGCCGTTCGTATGTTGGTCAGCCTGGCATATGCCGCTGATGTTATCCGCTTGATATGTGCTGCAGGAGACAGGTCTGGCGTGATATCAACCCCCAAGTCTTTTTCCTTCTCTGACTCCTGAAGAATTTCCTCTCCCAGATGATACCTTGTATCTGGCCTCCTGCTCCCTACACCTATCTTCATTACATTACATTTGGTTGGGTTAAACTCTAACAACCATTTGTTCGACCATTCCTTCAGCTTGTCTGTGTGTGTGTGTGTGTGTGTGTGTGTGTGTGTGTGTGTGTGTGTGTGTGTGTGTGTGTGTGTGTGTGTGTGTGTGTGTGTACTGCCGTGTAAGTGAACAGCATTAAGTGTAAGTACAGGCATGTAAGTATTCAGTACCTGCCCAAAACGCTATGCGTGTTGGTGGCTTTACACGAATGTAAAAACATCAGTGCTATGTACTCCCGTAAACCCAATGTTCCTTCTTGTATGCATATAAATAAAAAAATAAAAGTATGAGCAGGCGCGCTCGCGTGTTGACCGCGCTGCCTGAAAGTTTCCCAAAAGTAAGTTCCTAGCGGATCTTAATTTGTTTTTCTATTGGGGGATATCATACGGAGGAAGTTCAGCTAATTCAATTATTACCAACTCCCTAACCATCGTGTGAGCGATAACGGAGAACGTTTACACACACAGGAAGATAATGGACTCACGAACTAAACCTTTTCGAAACTAAACTAGAGTTTAGTTTCCTGGTATACTAGTATTACCTGAACTCAGAACCCTAGTAATTGTTCACTATAATTTCATCTGCCATAATCTTTCGCCCATTTAATTAAAATCATTATAATTAATATCTAGATCGTTATGGAAGCGATTTAGTCTTCTGAATATATTTCTTGTACTATTTTGCATCGTCTGCAAATTTGCAAATGTTGCTATGCAATGTCCTGTCTGAACAACAAAGATCTCTATATTACTATGTAATATAGGCTATATAGTTAATTAAATATAAACATCAATAATTTAGAGACAATTCTATCACTAATATTAGAGAAATATATTTTCATCCAAAAGACATATTTAGCTAATATTTTGATTATTATATATCTGAAATTTGCGTACTCTATGTGCTCAATTTTTACGCGGCGTGATCAACACGCGAGCGCGATTACTTTTACTTAATGTCTTTTCACATATAACAGTACACACACACACACACGCGCCTATTATTATATATATATTATATCACACGGTATAATACGCGAGTATTATACCTACTAATCGCCTAAATTACTTCTAAAGATTTAAAACAAAAATTAGCTATGGCTACAGGTTACGGGGATTAACAAATTCTAATCCATCATGAACGAACGGCATTCAGAAACTTGTGTAAAGAATCATTCAGAACTTTGTATACCACATATGTCAGGCCAATCCTGGAGTATGCAGCCCCAGCATGGAGTCCATATCTAGTCAAGGATAAGACTAAACTGGAAAAGGTTCAAAGGTTTGCCACCAGACTAGTACCCGAGCTGAGAGGTATGAGCTACGAGGAGAGACTACGGGAATTAAACCTCACTTCGCTGGAAGACAGAAGAGTTAGGGGGGACATGATCACCACATTCAAGATTCTGAAGGGGATTGATAGGGTAGATAAAGACAGTCTATTTAACACAAGGGGAACACGCACAAGGGGACACAGGTGGAAACTGAGTGCCCAAATGAGCCACAGAGATATTAGAAAGAACTTTTTTAGTGTCAGAGTGGTTGACAAATGGAATGCATTAGGAAGTGATGTGGTGGAGGCTGACTCCATACACAGTTTCAAGTGTAGATATGACAGAGCCCGATAGGCTCATGAATCTGTACACCTGTTGATTGACGGTTGAGAGGCGGGACCAAAGAGCCAGAGCTCAACCCCCGCAAACACAACTAGGTGAGAACTAGGTGAGTACACACACACACACACACACACACACACGCACACACACACACACACACACACACACACACACACACACCAGAGTGGTAGACGGTTGGAACAAGTTAGGTGAGAAGGTGGTGGAGGCCAAAACCGCCCGTAGTTTCAAAGCGTTATATGACAGAGTGCTGGGAAGACGGGACATCGAACGAGCGTAGCTCTCATCCTGTATCTACACTTAGGTAATTACACATAAAACATAAATATGCATACATACATACATATAGCGTTTGTATGTATTCACCTAGTTGTGCCTGTGGGGGTTGAGCTCTGCTCTTTCGGCCCGCCTCTCAACTGTCAATCAATCAACTGTTACTAACTACTAACGTAACTAACGTTTTTTCCACACATACATCCAGGAAGCAGCCCGTGACAGCTGTCTAACTCCCAGGTACCTATTTACTGCTAGGTAACAGGGGTATCAGGGTTCGATTCCCGCGCCGGCGCCGGGAATCGAACCCGGGCCACAGGATTACGTGACCAGCGTGCTATCCACACAGCCACCGGCGCTCTAATTTGTATGTTCATAATGATAATAAATAAAATAATAATACTGTTACTATTATACGAGACTACAGTATCTAGACCTGCAATTTAAGAGCATAATATTTATAAATACTCAGATTAATACTCTGTACACTACTACACAGCTTTAGTGACCTCTGCATCCTTTCGTGTCACTATGCACTTGGTAAGTATCTAAGCTGTCCCCGTGGGGCTGTGGTAAGCACTCACCGAGTGCTTCGCCAGCACTTTGGCCTGGGTTCGTTTCCTGGCCGGGGAGGATTGACTGGGCGCCAATCCTTAACTGCAGCCTCTGTTCACCCAGCAGTGAATGGGTACACACACACACACACCAGAGTGGTAGACGGTTGGAACAAGTTAGGTGAGAAGGTGGTGGAGGCCAAAACCGCCCGTAGTTTCAAAGCGTCATATGACAGAGTGCTGGGAAGACGGGACATCGAACGAGCGTAGCTCTCATCCTGTATCTACACTTAGGTAATTACACATAAAACATAAATATGCATACATACATACATATAGCGTTTGTATGTATTCACCTAGTTGTGCCTGTGGGGGTTGAGCTCTGCTCTTTCGGCCCGCCTCTCAACTGTCAATCAATCAACTGTTACTAACTACTAACGTAACTAACGTTTTTTCCACACATACATCCAGGAAGCAGCCCGTGACAGCTGTCTAACTCCCAGGTACCTATTTACTGCTAGGTAACAGGGGTAACAGGGTTCGATTCCCGCGCCGGCGCCGGGAATCGAACCCGGGCCACAGGATTACGTGACCAGCGTGCTATCCACACAGCCACCGGCGCTCTAATTTGTATGTTCATAATGATAATAAATACAATAATAATACTGTTACTATTATACGAGACTACAGTATCTAGACCTGCAATTTAAGAGCATAATATTTATAAATACTCAGATTAATACTCTGTACACTACTACACAGCTTTAGTGACCTCGGCATCCTTTCGTGTCACTATGCACTTGGTAAATACCTAAGCTGTCCCCGTGGGGCTGTGGTAAGCACTCACCCAGTGCTTCGCCAGCACTTTGGCCTGGGTTCGTTTCCTGGCCGGGGAAGATTGACTGGGCGCCAATCCTTAACTGCAGCCTCTGTTCACCCAGCAGTGAATGGGTACCTGGTTGTTAAACGATTTGGCGGGTCGTATTCCGGGGGAAGAATTAGGATTAAGGACCTGTCTGAAACGCTATGAGAATTAGTGGCTTTACATGAAGGTAAAAACTCTTGTATCTATAAATATAATTAATTAAATAGTTGCAGAATTTGGTAGCCGGTGTTAGTGGCAACAACAACATATTGCCTCGGGGACAAGGAAGGTAGAGAGCTGAGGTGGGCACCATAAAAACTGGTAGAGCCGCTCGCTACCAACCTCCAGGCTGATGACGTTACCATCCCATGGGGATGGTCTTCCACCTATGGCATGGCAAATTCGTGCACCCACTTAAGACAAGCCAAAAACTAACGTATACCACCTCATTTATATAGCTTGGCGTTATTATACCTACTAATCGCCTAAATTACTTCTAAAGATTTAAAACAAAAATTAGCTATGGCTACAGGTTACGGGGATTAACAAATTCTAATCCATCATGCAAGTACCAAAATGAAAAAAAATCGATAGTTTTGATTCGAGTTCCATAATGAAACTTAAAGACGCCTGGATATGAGACTTCGAACCCTAAGGGTGGGAAGCTTCGAAGCCGGCGGGTGTGAGGCTTCGAGTTGTGCGGATGGTGCGCGTGGAGGCAGATCACTCCAGGCCGCCCAGCATCCAGCATCGTCATCTCTTCTCGTCTCTGGAACTTTCTCATCTGCAATGAAAGGTGAGTTGTGCCGGATGCGCAGGTGGCGTGCATCCTCAGTTACGTTCTCCTGCGTGTTCCAAACACCTGGTATGCCTTCACGAATATTCGAACAAGACGTGCTTTGTATTCTATACCTGGTGAATGACCGGGATATTTTGAGCTGGTGCATTACACAATGACAACCGAATGCACTTGAAAATAGTATCTTTCTGTACTGCCAAATATAGTGTGATGGTGGAATTGATTTTAGTTTTCGGTCGATAATGTAACGGGTACGGGAAGGCTGGGTAGTGGTTTGCACAATAATTGATTTATTGAATTATAATGTCTTGTTCCCTACAGTGCAGTTAAATCATTTTGGTCTCGCAATAATTTTACATACAACTATGAGATTAAAGATATCTGCAAAGACCTATTGACCAATGCAAGGAAGCTGCTATTTTTTACCCAACTACTTATACTTTTTATGGTATATGGCACCCAAATATGTATATACAAGACTAGGATTGTTAAATCGTGCCATATATTAAACAAATGCCTTTGTTCTATTTTTTGGACTGTGACCTTCACGATTATTTAGGAGAGGGTAGGTTAGGATGGTTGATTTTTGGTTTTGCTAGATCTGATTTATCAATTGTCAACTGACTTGCCATTACCGTTTACCTCTCCAGAAATGAGATTTTCAGCTTTTAATACTGTGTTGGATGAATCATTTACACATGATGATTGTCTTTGTTGCTTTATAATTGGCAATAGAATTTGACAAAGTCTATGACAAGAAGCCTTATAGGCTTATTTAAATTTTCCTACCCAATGACTGACCTTACCCAGGGTGCAAGGCAAAACATTTCACTCATTCCCAGGTACCTGTACATGATTACTGCTAGTTGAACTGAAACATCAGGTTTAAGTATAGATGTGTGGTGCACCATATACCAGTGGTGCCTCTTCCACAACAGGTAATGTACAGAGAGAATGAGGCTCACCTTGGTCTGGAGTCATTGTATCTTCGCCTGGTGTAGACTGGTTAACCGGCGAGGTCTGCTTTGGTTAAGGGTCGTACAGAGGCTTGAACTCCTGGATTACTGAGGACGACCTGCCCAAAACACTGTGTATATTAGTGGATTTACATGAATGTAAGAATACCAATGTTATGTACTCTCTCACAACCTATTGTACCTTTTTGGATATAAATAAAAATAAATGACGTGGCTGTTACTTCAAGGCATTGCAGTTGTCGTCTGATAGGGGTGCTATGCCCCAGAGGCAGTGCCACAGCAACTCACCTCTGGGTATTACCTCAAGTGAGGGCAGGAGGTAAGGTAAGGTAAGGTAATTATCAGAAGAAAGCACTAAGCCTTTATAAGATTCTGTATAGCACTTGGAAGGGGTATGAGTAGTAGGCATCCATCAGTCTCGGGAGACTTTGGAATTGCACTCTGGTTGTCAGTATGAGTACAGTATAAAGATTTAGGATAGGATGGGGGGGGAAATGAATAGTGCCCAGCCATTTGCAATGTCGGAAATTGAACGCAATCTACAAGAATATAGTCACTCTACCGTCCAGTCCAGGTGTTTGGGAGGGCTGGGATACGCCCACTGATGAAAAGTTTAAATATGGCCACTCCACAAAAAGAAATACACCCAAATATTAACCCCCCTACCTATACATCAAACTCAAGACCAATTAGTTGTGAGCCAACTGCATTAACCACTGCCTAACTAAGTGGGCTTGCTGTGTGATGTTACTGGAATTTAATTTCATGCCATTGCATATTTATGCAATATAATTACATTGCTTCGAACCTAATGTACTGCCTAACTTTTACCCAGATCCATGAGAACAACAGTACACCTAACTTCTAATTCATTCACATTTATTCCAACCAGCCCCATTTCCCTGGGTTGTTAGCGAAAAGCAAGTCAAACATCTTTTTCAACCAGGTTTACCATGTGTCTATGCTGTTGGCCAGCAATCTATTCCACTCTTCTGTCAACCTGTTGCCAAACTGGTACTTACCCATAACCATTCAGAATCAAAATATTTATGGCCACTGTTACTGGTCCTGACCTGGTATGATAGTTTCAAAACATTGCTCATATCTCCCCTCATATTCATCCACTGGAATACCTCAGTTGTCTCTCCCCTTACCCACCACCTTTCCAATGAATGCAGGTCAAGCCTGGTCATCATACTGGTATGTTTTAAAAAAAAATTTAGAGAAGATATGTCCACTTTAAAATATGGTGACCAGAATTGGAGTGTGTAAACTTGTGGGGCCTCACCTGGGTCAAATATAATTGAAGGATGATGTGCTAGAATGGAACAATGGAACATTAAGTGCTAGAATTACAGATACAGTATCTGAACAAATGGAACAAATACAAACTGTACAAATACATTATCTTTACAGATGGAACATTTGTGGTATTCGACTAGTAACATTTCTCCAGTCTGACACATTGCCTCGGATTATTGTCCTCATTTTTCTGTCAGAATTTTTTTTTATCCATGTCAGTAATTGTTTTGCAGCAGATGATGTGCTTGTCTTCTGGCAAGTCAAGGCCAGCACTGGATGGGTGACCATGTGGATAGCTTCGCCCTTCGCTTAGGGGACATCGTTAAGTCTAATAGGGTTCCTGTATCATACCATCATGTTCTCCAGTTGTATTAATGGAATCACGTGTTCATTACTGTACTAATTGTAGGCTTAATCGAATGGCTTGGATAAACCTACTCCCAAGCTTATTTTTTTTTTTAAATCCACTGACTGTTTTTGCATTTTGTTGGATTAATTATTTTAGGACAGTATTGTACTTTATGATCTTTCATTTCCCTCATGCATCTCCTTATTTTAAATTTAATTTGTAAATTTCAGATCAGTCAGTAATGCCGGAAAACAGCGTTGTGTCCTTGATCCACCAGTTCGACCAGCTGCAGGAGGAACGGGTTCATAGTTATAGACTTTTAGAAGAGTGAGTAATATAAAATTCATTGTGATAATTACTGATAATTGTGATAATTTCTCAATTTCAAATTACTGTACTGCACTGTATAAAATTCTACTTTTGAAAGACATTTTTCCAGTCTACTGTATTTTATATTTGAAGTCTTGCCAAATGTGAAAACAATTTGTGTATTATACCATTTTGCTGGAAACTTTGAAATTAAATGATGAATTGAGTGATTTCTTTTGTTATTACTATACAGAAAATTGTTATGTTGTATGGTAAATACTTATTGCATAGCAATGTAGTAGTAGTCGATGAATTCAAAATTGTGGGAGTATATTGTCCTTGTGCTTGGATCATTGGATTATTTACAAAGGATGCAAGAATTTCAATAAATTTTTTCAGCTGTATTACAAAATATGATTTGAAGATTTTTAATACCAATTCGAGTTTTGCCCATTTATATAGTTTGTTTTGCATTGGTGTTTTTCAAAGATGAATCTGGACACTGCCCTATTTATTTACTGCATATACTATAATGTGAAAGGATGTAAAATGCTTTACCATTCTCGGAATAAATGGATGTACTGTAGTTATAACGTTTTTTTTCTTATCTTTTCAGAGGGCACAAGATCTATCTTAGTACAGAACCAAACTATGATTTCCCAAAATTTAGAAAACTTGTTCATGAAGTTACACAAGACTTCAAGCGGGTTTCTGAGGGCATCATTGCTGTTGAGAAAGCTCTGAGAACGGACAATCATATAACAGCTGCTGATATTATTGCTTCAATTCAGAAGAATGAGAAGAGAAAGCTGGAGCTGGTAATTTTTTCCTTTACTCTTTGTAGATTTTATCTTTGAAAACACCAACTGATCCATGGGACTGAATTTTTCAAACATTAGAAAAAGTATGGGTGATAAAATTGCAGACACCAACAACAGTATTCTTACCCAATAGGAACAAGCCCTTTCAAATACATAGGTGGTTTTCTCTTCAAAATACAATAGGAAAAAAAATTAGGTACACTGAATGAAATAATGGCATTTTGCCAAAGATATTGATTACAACATAAGGTACATAATATATGAGAAATCTAAAACAATGAATGCCTGTCAAACAAGGTGCAGGATACGAAGTGGCAGACTCACCTTAGCCAGGTACTCTTCTCAATTCTCAGATTGTTACCAAGTTGGGTATATCTGGGTCACTTAACGCATCATTTAGTAGAGGCTTCGTATGCCACACACTATGTAGTTATATCTGTTATGACTGCTACTCTCAAATATAAAATAGCTAAGGATTTCTAGTCTACTTCAGGAAGATGTGGTGCTTGTAGGAACCCTTCAAAAGGTTCTCATAATTTTTATCAATGAAAATGAGGAGAAATGAGCCAAATTTGTTTTTAATGTATTATAAGTTATGTATGAACATGACCTATTGCTACTTGCTTTTGGTAAGCCAATATTTATGTATTTCTGATTAACCAACACTTGGAATTTCCCCGAGGGCTGTCACTCTCTCTAGTGTCCTGATAATTTTATCGAGCTGGATTTTGAAATTCAGCTTTGTTTTGGCAGCTTGTTTTAAGGCTTCAGCAGGTAGGCAGTTCCATGGATTGATAGCTCTTTGGGTGAATAAGCATCTGTTTCCTGTCTTACATTGTGACTTGTTGAAATTGAAACTGTTGCATCAGACCTTTTGAAAAAGTGGTCTGCATCAATATCCTCAAAATTGTTCAGTGTTATAAGTTTCTATGAGATCAGTTCTGTCATGTCTGGTTTGTACTGTTATTAGCTCTGTGGCCTTCAACTGTTCCTGGTATGTTCCCGATATATTCTAAGTTGTGTGCATTTTGCAGCATTATAAGTCATGGATAAACTGTCGTATTTATAATGGTCTAAGCTACACTAAATGTCATTTGAGCTTGTAGGGCCAATTTCACTGTCAACTTAAGAGCATAAAGGTAACCTTGTCCAATTCAAACCTGTCTTATCTGCAATATAGTTCAGTTACCTTAATGAGCACTAATTAAATATGGTCATAATTTTTTATGTACTGTATTTAAATGTGCTTTGACTTTATAAGGGTCCTCGATAGACAGAAATTTCATCGCTCTCCTTCCATCTCAAGGATAGGTTGGGTTATTTATACGTTATCATGAAGCCAAGATTTATAAAGCTCAGAGAATATATTTTCTTCTAAACTGTTATGATATACATCACAGTAGGAAGATACTGCCCTTGTAATTATCATTTAAAGTGTACAACACTTAAATTTCTTAATTCTGTACTGGTTTTAAAACTAAATTTGTTCTTTCTCTTTGCCAGACTACCCACTTGCAGCTTGCCCATCAAATGGCAGCAGAGCGTGACAGTGGGGAATTGGAACAAAATAAAGTTAAGGAAATTAGAAGCGAGTTGGGTCAAGTGGTGGAACAAATAAATGACCTGCTGACAGAGCTCCGCTACGAAGTTCGCAATGGAAAATAGATTCTAAGCAGATGAACATAGGTCAGTATAATGTGGCATATTATAATGTGAAATTAAGGTTACTGTTTGACCTCATTGTTAAAAATTAACAAAATACTTTTAAAAGCGGAATCCTTAAAGGAATATAGTTTTTACGGCCATATGGGGAACACGACACTGCATTAGCTTTAAAGAAATTGGCAGCAAGATCTTCTAAGGTACAAATTAAGCAATAGAACATATCAGATAAATGTAGAAATAATTTTTAATCATAAACCTTATCAGTGTCTGATTGTGGTTTCTCTTATTGGCATTGTTTAAATGGCATAAATATTGACAAAATTGACCTAATTTGTAAGTAGGATACTAAAATTAACAAAATACTTTACAATAAAGCATTTGTGGCAAAATGGTTAAGAGCTGTTTAGCTGCCTCACTTTCAATGCATTAGTGATTCCCCTCTTCATGACAAATCACTTACTACTATGCTTTTTATTTAATCAATGACATTTCAGAACAATATTCAATCAGCATTTTACTAGGTACCATAATTAATAGGTCAAAATTACTTGAGCATTACCAGAATATATTACTGCTGAATGTATATGAATACGAGCTACAATTTACGATGCCAACTTTTGGTACAAGCACACACACACACACAGTATACATACATATGTATAAAAGGTTTGCCAACTGCATTAATTTTTTATCCTTGTTTATCTAGTTTTGGATATGATCCTACTGATAAATCATTCTTAATGATGTATGTATATATAAAGTTTTATTATTTTTTAAGCATTTAAATTTGTTGGGTTTTGACAAATTAAATTTGTATTGACAACATTCAATGATAGACAATTCTTCTTTAATTTATATATCTCGACATACAGGGTGTAACTACAGTCAACAACAACAACAGTTTTACCAATTTTGGTAATACTGTACTGTATTTGATATGTTTTATTTTTAAATCTTATTACCCATCAAATCAATATAGTTAAAGATTTTTAATACATTTGAAGTTTATTGTAGTTACTCATTTGTGATGATAGTATATCAAAATTACTTTGTTCGGTATGGGGCAGAAGGAATTATTTTTGGTAAATTGGATGCATTTGATTTTGCATGTAAAGCCAAGTGCAACACTTTACAAATAATCTTTAACTACCACACTCCTTATTTGAAAGTTTTGCTGGCATGCCCTTTCAGTAGTTTTAATCACACCCCCACACCTACAGGCATCTTGAAATGTAACTCCTTGCACTTTGGCCTAACATAAGCCTTCAGAATTTAGACTAATTAGAACAGTGTTTGCTTGCAGTAGACCCCAAGGTCTTAATTTGGTGTTATGAATTGTTTTCTGTTAATAAATATACTGAAGTACAATTAGTTTATTGTATTCCAAAAATATTATACAGTACTGTACTAGGAAGATAACATATGAGGCAGAAAATACAGTAAAGCTACCACGAGTGAATAAATGAGGTTAGTTCTAGCAGAAATACGCTACATATCTTCATGTTAATAAATGGTGATAAGTACAGTAATATATATTTGCCAGCAGGTGACAAGATGCAAAAGGAATTACAGGTCCTTGCTCAAGTAGTGGGGAGGTGGGGGGGGGGGGAGAATGAGAAGGGAGCAGCTTTGCAGAGCAACAAATTTTGTGGAAATATAAGGCTTTATTAGTGATAAGTAGCTATATATGGCATATTGGGCCGATTGTAAAATTTTGTCCTATGAAATACAATTCAAACTGATAAGAAAATTAATCTCTTATAATAAAAGTAGATACCCGAGTTAGTATTTATAAGAATTTTTTTTATCTGAAAGCATCTGCTCTGGTAGATCAATAATGCTAGAAATATAATTAGGGAAGTGGAAAAACACGGCATTTCATATAAGCGATGTTGAAAGTAACAGATGTTGTGTAAGTGAAAATTATAAGAAAAATACTGATGCAAGATGGATGATGTACTTATGAAGTATAAGTAACTATAAAAGTACCAAGCCACTATGACTCTGGTATTCTCGTGTACAATTCAAAGTAATTTCGCGCTAAGATACCAATACTATCATCAAACAAGTTTTCCCACAGAGAGTGTTAGATCATGATGGCTGTATAGCAGTTAAAGAATATTCAAGTTAACAGATGACCAATTATTAAAATGGGCAAAAACATCCCCTGCTATGAATATAGAAAATTTCTGATGTTTAATCATTATTGAAACAATGCCAAAACTCATACCTCTCCATAATGGAAGTTTAAAATGGTTCTAGCAATGATTGATTACCAGGGGAAAAATGGGTATTACAATGGCAAATTTGATCATATACAAGCATTAAGCTTCTGTTAAGTTACCCGAATATATTCATGGAAATCACTTGGGAAATAAATAAATATATAGTAACATAACTATAAGGTATTTACTGGAGACAATGTACCTTTCTTTGGGCCTTGGCATTTGAAGATAGGCATTACCAATACATTACTAACATTTTAGGGCTACAGTGTCTGATCAACTTGACTCCGAGGAAGCACATCAGATGAGATGGCACGCTTAAAATATCCCTGAAGGTATATTGCATTAAACAAATTATTTTAACATACTTTATTTATGATTCATGATACAATTTTAAAGAAATTTAACAATATTCATCCTTAAAATCAACAATAGTAATCAATAAGCACAAAATTACCTTAATCACTACACTACAAAATTTAGACTACAGTACTTATAATTACACCAACTCCCTTCCAGTCCACCAAGTACTTTATTTTAAACTGATTATAGCTTCTCAAAGTCAAATGATGTAATTTGAGAAATTTAGTTATCCACCCATCAAGATACACATACAAGTACAGGAGGAGTTACATCAACATATTGCAAATTAGTTTACGTCAGTGGAACACAATTTTAACTTACTGGGTACTATTCTCACTCGGATGATCTTAAACGTTTTTGTTTAAGACACTTTTCCATGTGTGGCCATGGTTCATCACACTCTGGATCGGGACAGAGAACAGGTTGCACGTTTTTACGAGTAAAATATCTGTCACCACACCTTCGATGTACTCTGGTACTGCACTTGGTACATCTGTATCCCTGTAAAATATGTAAACATGTAAGATGGTGGCACAAAAGAAATAAAAGTGTAAAATACTCTGCTGATAGTCCTAATTTTATGGCTAAACAAAACACAAAGCATTTCCTATGATGCAGCGAAACACAAGGTTGAGAGCAACCTATTAATCACTATAGAGTTTTGCCTGCAGGGACTTCAGTTTTGTTGATATACAGGGTTAGTACTTATTATTGGGTTAAAGTTGGGGGTGAGGACATTGAGGCAAATGTACCACAAGATCAGGAATTAAAGTAACTAAGTAATTATCAAAAGAAGGCACCAAACCGGGAAGGCTATGTAGCACCATCAAATGTGCGGAATAATCAGAGGCCGCTAAATATCACCAAGGATGCCAATACGAGAACAGATACGCATAAGGTGAACGATATCAAAAGCATCCGATTCACCAAGAATTCTATCGAGGGACAAGCGACCGCGGGGGGACGGTCAGAAAACAAGATACACGCCCGTCCCGGAAGTCAGGATATTCAACAAGGATATGCACGACTGTAAGAGGGACAGTGTAATTTGGACAATAAGGAGCAGGGCGGCGCTCCATTAAGTGACCATGAGCTAAGCGAGTATGGCCAATATGCAACTTCACTAGAGCCGTTTCCCATCACTGGTTACGGTGGTAGGAGGACGGCCATGAGGACAACTCGTAAGAGTACGCAATATCAAATGCATCAATATCATGTATATTTGATGTATCATGCTATTGTGATTTCCTGTGTGTACCAAATAGTAGTTGTGACATGGTCATTACTGGTGAAATGTTATCATTACAACTTCATCCACACAGGCATTTTAAAAAGTGGCGCCTATAAAATGATTTAATAGGCTTTTATGATGTGTTGAATCCATTAAAAATCAATTCCCTGTGGCTCAAATTCCAACTGCATAATTCGGGCAAGAATGAATATTAGGCCTATGTCAAGCTGAATGCTTTCTGTTAGAAAACAGTAACAAGAATTAATAAGGAATTTCAGTTTAGTCGATATATCAAGTAAATTTCCAAGACCAGGTTGTTAAAAATACTAAATTCATTGTATGTTGATCACAAGTTGTACAAAGTCAAATTACTAACATGGCTGATAATTTCATTAATCTTAGCCTGCTCAAAATCTGCATACTCATAATTTTATGAATATTATTGTATTGCAAGATTTAGTATATAATGGGTGAAAGTAACCTTACACACCTACCTTTCATTACAGGAAACACATATAATACACCTTTAAATTCCATAAAATCTGGGTAAACAAATTAACCTCTACCATACCAAAACCTATAAGAATTAACACTGCTCTCGTCTAACCTGCCTGTACATTAACTTGTCCCCGGCTATTTTGCAAATTAACAAAAAAATTGTATTACTTATTGTAATTTTCCTCCATTGATTAATTAACTTTTAATCCTTTTGTGAATGCATGTACTAAAGACAAAATAATTACCTTTAATGTGAGAATCTTACATAAGAAGCACTTTTGGACTAATTCCGGATACAATTCTTCTAGATATGGCTGCAATTCTGATATAGTAAGGGCACTCAGTGAGACAACCTTTTCCCTTCTGGTATGCTGAAAATAAAGTAAAAAAAAAAAATTAAAATAATTATTTGAAAATCCTCTCAATGGTGAATAAGAATTACAGTACTGTATATGGAACATACATACATAAGCCTACTCCTAGAAAAGCTGGTACATAGTGTAGCCAGTGTAGACTAGCGAGGCTCTTCTCTCCTTCTATATCTATGTCTCTCTAATGTACATGGGTATTTAAGGGGTAACCTGGAGCTAAACTCCACCTACCAGGAGATCTTCCTACCACACCTAGACAGCAGCTTGTTTGATGGGAAGAACACAGCCACCCGGTCGGCCGAGCGGACAGCACGCTGGACTTGTGGTCCTGGGTTCGATTCCAGGCGCCGGCGAGAAACAATGGGCATAAGTTTCTTTCACCCTATGCCCCTGTTACCTAGCAGTAAAATAGGTACCTGGGTGTTAGTCACCTGTCACGGGCTGCCTCTTGGGGGTGGAGGCCTGGTCGAGGACCGGGCCGCGGGGACACTAAAAGCCCCGAAATCATCATAAGATAACCTAACCTGTCTGCAATTATCCACTTAGCAAAGAGTGAGGCCACCTGACACGACCTGACCTCCGCAAAACTTGCGTACAGTACATTAAGACTCAAATGGTGTGACTTGAAAATGCTAAGGGATGACAGCCTGGCGCTACCAATATGCTGTGTGACTGACTCGTTATATGTGAAATATTAATTAAAACCATTCATGGTGTTACAATATCACAATCCACAACATTATTCTTGTTACATTTTTATTATCTTAAGATTGTTATTAATATTAATACAGATGGCATGTGCAAGAATCCTTTTTATTAAAAGACAAAAAGCTTTTCAAAGTTCTTCTTTCTTACATTGGCCTTTTCAATTACCAGTCTTCTTACAGTTTCCCTCTCGCCTTTATTTTTTTAAGCCTTTTTTACATACTTTTAAATCCGTTTTCCATCCGATTTTTAAATCCTTTTCAAAATCCTTTTTTAGTCCTTTTAAAACCCAAGTTTTATAGCGTTTCTCCATTTAAGACACGGTAGCATCTTCACACCCTTTCCTCTGGTTCCTGGATGAGGTTTTGCAGGTTCTTCTACTCCAAGCCCAGCCTGAGGTCAGTTTTGACTTGTGAGAGCTTGGTCTAATAGGCTATTGTTTGGAGCGGTCGGCAGGCCCACATATCCACTACAGCCCGGTTGGTCCGACACTTCTTGAAGAAAACTATCCAGTTTTCTCTTGAAGATGTCCACTTTTGTTCCGGCAATATTTCTTATACTTGATGGGACAATGTTGAACAGCTGTTTAAAGTGTTCTCTGGGTTCCTTCCCAGAGATCCTATGATACAATTGAAATATTGGTCTAACTACGCCATGCACATCATGTTGTGCATTAACACAATCTCCATCTGGGGCGTTCAAACAGCCGAGAATCCCCCCCCCCCACTCTCACACCAATGTTACAATAACCAGCATAAGATAGGTTTATAACCACTCTATAATAAATGTATTTTGCATGGGGAGTTATGAACAGGCAACTGATTCATCTGTGACTGGATTGCAGATATATACTCGGTATATTCGTGTGGGTGCATTTTTTATCCGGTCTTGACTTCCTGTGTTACATTAAATTTACTTCATGAGCCTAGTAATTAGCATATCTTATTTATAACTACAAAGCTAGTGTCTGTTTAGTAAAGGGGTGTCAAGAATGACCACCTCGCTTGTTTGTGTCATAGACAGTGTTGGCATTATCTTCAAGCTGGATGTCACTTTTATTCTTAGGGCCTGATAGAAAATACTGTACACCCATTTTTAATCAATCTACTTTTTCCAACATATTTTAGAATATAAAGGCACAGTATTTGTAAAGGAAGATGGAGAATTAGATATTTTTTCTCAGGTTGACCTAAAAAGCAGAATAAGGGGGAGATCAAGATAATGAGTGACCTGCAGTAAATATAAAAATAATTAAATTATGTACAACAGAAGACTTACATTACCTGGAGAAGCCATTTATCATGTATGAAGCGCTGAATAGCTTCCTCGCTGTCTCCAATTTTCATTCGAGTTTCCAAATTAGTTGCCAAGTTCATAGCCTCTGTTTCTGGAAGTTCGCCATCATCAGAGTTGACAAGCTCTTCTATGATACGCTTGAAAAGGGCAAGCTCTTGGGAATTAAATGTTGAGCCCATTCTGAAAATCAAGATATTTATGTGGTTGAATATACAGCAAATTTGGGATAAAATTTTATATCGGATATCATGCTTTACAGTCTTACTTCCCTATCTATCTTGAGGTTATCTTGAGATGATTTCGGGGCTTTAGTGTCCCCGCGGCCCGGTCCTCGACCAGGCCTCCAACCCCAGGAAGCAGCCCGTGACAGCTGACTAACTCCCAGGTACCTATTTACTCCTAGGTAACAGGGGCATTCAGGGTGAAAGAAACTTTGCCCATTTGTTTCTGCCTCGTGCGGGAATCGAACCCGCGCCACAGAATTACGAGTCCTGCGCGCTATCCACCAGGCTACGAGGCCGCCCTCGTATACTGTATATGGAAGAATGAGGAAGTGGGTGCCAAAATACGGTACATGTAGTAAGAAGTATTAGCTACGCAGAGAGTTCCAAAAATTGAGTTCCATCCCAACTTCTATACATAATAGTACCCTAACATAGTGCATTTTTGTCCTGTAACACAGTGTTCTTCATTCGCAACAGCGACCCAGTTTCAATCCCAGTGCAGGACAGAAATAGTTTGCCATGTTTCCTTTTACCTGATGTCTCTGTTTGCCTACAAGTAAAGTAGGTACATACCCAGAAATTAGGCAACTGTTGCAGTTTACATCCTGGAGAAGGTCAGAAGAGTGCCTAGAGGGATCTCAATAATCCTATGTACAGGTTACTTATCTCCTAATAACAGGAAAATGTATATGTTTATCTCTCAGAATGTTCGGTAATATGTTTATTGCTTGTGATGTGCGTCTATGTATGTATTAACACGATGTACTGAATGGGGTGAGAATAGCTTGAGCTACCCAATCCCTTTGTGTGTATTTTACCTCAATAAACTTATTTCAATTTCAACAGGAAATTATCATCATGTAATTTATCCAAATTTTGTCCTGCCTTTGTCATTCATCTATTTATAATAATAAAAATTTATTTAGGAAAAGTACATACATAGTTGCAGAGTTACAGTACAGTATAAACATTCTGTTTGATTTAAAGATAGAGGTAGTGCATACAATACCTAAAGCCACTAGTACACACAGCGTTTTGGGCAACTTCCTTTTCATTTCCTTCTTCTTGCCTTGGATTTTTGAACAAGTTCAGTGATGACTTTTTAAAAATGTTCACATGATGCTTCCATGTCTGTCTCCTATTAATTTTCTCCAAGAGGTATTTCGCAATTCCTCTCATTCTATAATTACCTCAATGAAGGTAGTCTAGAAAATCATTACCTAGAAAGTCTAGAAAGGGTTTCTATATCTGTATTTCATCTTAGGATAAAAGGGTCACAAAGAGATGAATTTCTTCCCTACTTGGATTTGATGTTAGCAAAAGAGCTAGAATGCTGTAAACTCAGATGGACTCACATGCTGTATGAGAAAGAAGTCCTGTACTAGGTCCATGAATTCTCTCTTTTTCCAACTGTGATGTTAAATTCACCCAATCAGTTGTTTCTTGGTTAAAATCTCTCATTATAAGAGGCTTCAGTTGCTTCATGTATCACATTATGCAGATCTGTAACTTCCTCTGCTGTTGCTGTGTCTGTCCTGTAGAATACTCCAAATGTCGGTTTGCTACCATTTTGAGCTAATATATTTTGCAAGTCCTAGGATGTATATTAAATGTGTACTTTTGGCAAAGAAACCATCTCTCACCCATTCCCCCCCCCCCCCCTTCAACCATTTATAGAGAGACGGGAAGATTATTGTAGGATGACTGAATGCTAAAATATCGAAAGCCAAGGCAAAATGGGTATCTTACCTTGTAGTTTCTCCATTCAGTGTATTGACAAGAACAAAACACTGAATGTCCTCTGCCAAATCTTCTTGGATGGATTTTCTTATTGCTAAATGCATCACTTCAAGACGGCGATTTATTTCCATAACAAACTCGTGTAGATTATCTGGTGGAACTGAAAATAAAACATTTGCATTCAAATTAAGAGATTTTGCATTTTTGTACTTGTCTAAAATACTTGAAATCTAGCTATCAAAAATAGAACAGTACTAGTTCAATTATTCAATTACAATTTTTCCAAGACCTCAGGGTTGCCCAAACCAAAACATGGTTGGATTTTCTTTTACAGATACAGTACCACAAATCTGTTCAGTACAATACTGTATAGTATTGTATGAAAAGTATGAAAAATAAATACAAATTCAGTAGCACAAGCAGATTTTTTTTTTTTTTTTTTTTTTTTTGAGATATATACAAGAGTTGTTACATTCTTGTACAGCCACTAGTACGCGTAGCGTTTCGGGCAAGTCCTTAATCCTATGGTCCCTGGAATACGATCCCCTGCCGCGAAGAATCGTTTTTTCATCCAAGTACACATTTTACTGTTGCGTTAAACAGAGGCTACAGTTAAGGATTTGCGCCCAGTAAATCCTCCCCAGCCAGGATACGAACCCATGACATAGCGCTCGCGGAACGCCAGGCGAGTGTCTTACCACTACACCACGGAGACTGCAGAATTTGACTTGCATGGAAATTGCATTCCTGTAATACCTGTGCAAAAATTAATCAAATTCAACCATCAATGTGTGATTATAGCCATTTGATGATTGCCACTGCAATTATTGTCATTTTAACATTGTTGTTATTGTTACCTGGTATGTAGATAAATGATGTTAATATTGCTATAATAACCACATTATATGAATGTAATTCAAATCCATAATTTTTGGGGGCATTCTGCAATTGCTTATTATGAGGCTATTGTGTACAAGTGGCCTGTGATTACTGTATAACCAAATCATGAATTGGTGTTTCCCTCCAGTTTGAATCCATGCTTGATGATATTCCCAGAAAGAATCACAGCAAAGGAGTCAATTGTTTGATGAAGATTTAGCCATGCAAGAGATGGCATGGGCATGAATAGCTTGTAAGTAAAGGAGTCAGTTGCATGACACTTCCTTTAAGTTGTGCCAAGAACAAATTCATGTGCAATAGGTATACGTATTACATATGTTACATTGTAAGCCTATCTAAAGTAATCAATCACTGTTTTTGTTGGTTACATAAATAGCTATTTAACACAAACATTACATTGTGTGAACAAATATAAGTGAAACAATGAACATAAGTCGCCTATTCCCTGCACTACTGTCAGCAATTCTCTAGTGTGACATTCAATGAAAGAATGACTTTCATTTGGCAACATGGCAACAACAACTTCACAAGACCAGAAAAATGTAAATTTTAAATTGCATGCAAATGTATCATTCTGAAGGAACAAATTATTATTGGAGACACAATACAGTAATTGGAGTCACAATAATGTGACTGAAGTATGTTGACCAAACCACACACTATTAAGTGAAGGGACGACGACGTTTCAGTCCGTCCTGGACCATTCTCAAGTCGATTGGTCGATTGTGACTCTCAATCAACTTGAGAATGGTCCAGGACAGACCGAAACGTCGTCGTCCCTTCACTTTCTAATGTGTGGTTTGGTCAACAAATTATTATTATTAACTAACTTTTTTGTGCATGGTAAGGTGACACTACTGATACACTTCTGAGGGTTGATGTCATACAATAAAAAAAACAATATTAATTCGTCAGGAAACTTTGCTAAAATTGTGGCCATGTCCAACAGTCTAACAAGTCAGACAAAATCTAAATTATAGAGCTTAGCTCTTTGGATACCAAAAAATACACAGCACTTCCCTAACCACACCTGCCCTCCCCCCCCACCCCCAACCCTCAGCCTTGTACCCTCTCCAAACTCACCTACTGTACTTGTGCTTGTAGGGAGTTGAACTTGAGCACTTGCCTTTCAACCTAAATTTGACAAAGGATATCTTAAGTGTTGTAATACATTTTGCATTCTGAAGGGAGATACTCAATCCTTTTAAAGCATACTCATTGTTCTAATCAATGATTAACATTTAACATGGTGCAAATGTAATGCATCTTGCCCCAAACTATTAAGACTGAGTGTAGCTGTTTTGCATAGCTTAGTAATTTTCATTTATTTATTTTTTATTATTTTTTATTTAATTATGTTATTATTATTTTATTTGAGTATTACCAATGAGAAATGAATGCTGGAGAGTAATGTATCAAGACTAAAGTTTCCTAGTATGCAACCAACAATTGCCTAATGCTCAGGTAACTACTCTACAGTAAATAAAACCAATCAGACTTAAAAAAAAATAAGATGGCCAAATGTCTTCTCCTGCAGAGGAATCAAACCGGGACCGTTCAATTGCACGTCAACTGCACTGACCAATTTTTAACAGGACACCTCGATTCAAACAATGGCCTGAACATTATTGTAAACCATCCCTCTATATCATCATCTACATCCCATTATGCTTGTCACCATTGAGGATTAAGCCTGATAGTAGTTGGCTATTGTCCGTATGGTACTTTATGTCTAATTCTACCCAATGGTATCCCCAATCATTTCCACAACTTCAATCAAAATATCTCAAGGGAATTTACAGCGTCAATCATATAGGGTCCCAGTAGTACAGTCAAGTTCATTCTCGACTCACATTCGAGAACTCCTGGTTCGAATCCTGGGCAGAACAGAAATGGTTGAGCGTGTTTCCCATCACCTAATGCACCTGTTCACCTAGCAGTGAACAGGTATGCAGGAGTTAGTCAGTTTGTTGTGGGGGTTAAATCCTGGGAAAGGTCAGTAATTCGACCCTGGTGGGGGAATACATCATGTTGATGTATTCACTCCCCCCCCCCTGATTGATACATCACAATTTGGGGGGGGCCTCAATTTAAGCCTAACATGTAATGTATGTATGAACTGGCTGTCTGTCCCCTGACACAATGAATTAATTATATATTGCATCCTAAGAAATTGTTTTCTATTGTCTTTTCCTCACACATTCATGCAACATAGCTTCTTATCTCTTACATATATTAATAAATAATATACAAACTACACTTACCATGAAACTTTTGACAGCATTTCTCAAAGGTGCTTTTGACTTCTGCTCCCATTAATACCCGACGTGCAGTTATTATTTGAAGAAACAAACGATGTGCATCTGAATACATTGTACCTGTAATACAATATTTTTTTGTTAAAATTCATAATATATAGAACCCTTCGATATTTATAAATGAGATTGTCTGTGTTAGTGCGTCCATGAGTGGAGGCGAGATGCTTGGGGCTAACTTTGGGCAACTGATCCTAACACTGCCTGACCTAACGATGTGCAGTAAAGTAGGTATAGATAAGACGTTTATCAGGTATAACAACAGAATGAGAAGCTAAAGGTAGAGGCCAACGGCCATACCACGTTGAGAACACCGCTTCTCGTCCTGCCACTTATGCTAAAGGTAAGTACAGATGAGCTGTGGAAATAAGAGGAAGAATTTTTTAAGCCTATGAATAGTAAGTATGAATAGTATGAACTAGCCAGGAGGTACATGGTTTTGACAATTGAAAAACGAGTCTTAGTTGAGCTATCTAGTATATAATGTGACTATACTGTACTGTACCCTGATCGGTCACGTGGGAATTTTAAACCTCACTTAACCCAATCCTCGACAGTGTACTCACCTATTTATGCTTGCGGGAGTTGAGCTCTGGCTCTTTGGCCCTGTGTGTACAGCACATTAAATAGAGTATAAGAATAGAGTATTTTATTTATAAAAAATACAGCGGATCACATGAGTAATTACTAATTAATGATTACTGATGAGATGAGCCGTGTGACCCATGAGAGTTGACTTCTGGAATTGAATGTCCTGATACATGATACACGGCGCAAGTCCCATTACTGGCCAGTTGACAGACCTAATGACCGGAACTGGTGTCATTAGCCAATGACAGACATTAAATAAGCACAAGGTAGGTTGAATGAGCAGCTTTACCTTGAGTGTGTGGTTTTCCAGGAGAGTCAAGTGCAGGCGGCCGCCTCTCACATCACTCGTCACGTTACTGTGTCTCAGAGCGTCTGTGTGAGATGCTGGCCGTGTGTCTGTAGACGACTCCTTCTCCGTCTCGTGAGGTTGTGGTCACACTTGACACCTGAACTTGCCGCTCCTCACACTCCTGCTCCTCACACACCAATGGTGCACCTCTGCAACATTCGTACATAATCGTCACCCACGGTTCCGTACATAGATAACTATCCCGTGGCGTAGTGATGAGACACTCGCCTCGTGTTTCCCAAGCGCTTTGTCCTGGGTTCGTATCCTGGCCGGGAAGGCTTTACTGAGCACAGATCCTTAACTGTAGCCTCTGTTTAACCCAACAGTTGATTTCGGTCACAAGAATCGTTTCGTACGCGTACATGTGCGCTGGCTTGTGTTCGCTGCTGACCTCGGCTTCAGACACAATAAAATTATTAAAACCAAACAATAGAATTAGATAAGTTAACAAGGTGACTATATAGATGGCACATGATCATATTATATTATAATAATGGCCGACCAGGCAAACACCCGGAGCCCGACCAGTTGTGTAATAGAGCCTGATCAGCTGTGTACCCTGCCTAGCCCTACCGAACACCTCCATAATCCTACCAAACAAACGCCCAAGACAGAGAGCCTCTGTCTAAAATTTAAACGCCATATTTAATTTTTCTAATATAACCTGAATTTCAATTTCTTTCTTTATTATGCACTCCATACCCATCCCGTGGGCGGTGGTGTTGGATTCGTTTTTAGCTATTAATTTTTTAATCATGACAAATTACATATGAAAACAATGTGTAAATATGGGATAAAATGTACACACACAATTTTGCTCTGAAATGAAACACATTTTATAACGGAACGACACGAAAATTGGAACTTGAATTGCGTATATTTTTATTATTAAAACTCTTAGGTCTAGATAGCAATATGCTTCTACTCTGTTATATTAGACGGGTACCGTCCCGGCCAGGGATGGTTGGCCCATACAGGTGTCACTGTACCTCAACATAACTGTAATACAATTACAGAAATAATTTTATTAATTCACTATGTCGCGGGGACAGGAAGCCAGAGTGTATTCATACACGTTTTTAGCTTTTATCTAAGCGCCCAGGAAACAACCCCATAACTCCTGAGTACCTTCTCACTGCTAGGTGAACGGAAATGTGCCCAACCGTTTCTGTCCCGCCCGGGATTCGAACCCGGTATTCTCGATTGTGCGTCGAGAACAAACCCGACTGTACTACTGGCACAATATTTGTAAAAGTCAATCTAGGGGGGTAGAAATAGCCTAAGCTACTCTATCCCTTTGAGATGTATTTCTTGCTTATCTCAATAAACATACTTGAACTTGTAAAAGTCAAGAATTGGGCATCCACCTTTCAAGCTGTTTCACTTGTTTACTGTTCTTATAGTAGTCAAAATTATTGTACGAACATTGCAGAAGACAGCTCCATTCTCAAATTTACCTTCCTCATTACTGCTTTTGCAATCAAATTCATTGTAATGTCCTTGTAGCTAAATAAAATTTGGGATTCAGTTCCAGAGCCCATTATGTACCCCTCTGGAATCTTTTTCACTACCTCCCACAGAATGGGTATGGGGTGCATAATAAATGAACTGAACCAACTTAGACTATAGGGTTACGGGTTGATCATGCCCGTGCCACCTTCTGGGTGGCTTAAACTTTATCAATGATCGATTGATAACCAATCAATCAATCTAGACATAATTACCTGGTCACAGACCGAGCCGCAGAGACGTTGATCCTCGATTGATTTTTTTTATTAACAACCTTGGGTATACACAGCAATGTGCTGCTACCCTGTTCTATATGAAAGATTACACTGTGTAGATTAAAAACTAGCTATAAGTTCATCTAATACATAACTGTATTTTCCTCATTTTTCCATTTTAGGTGATGTAAGTTGAAGTCACCAAGTTAAATAATTTTTGGAACTAGGTTTGAGGTACTAGGTACTACTAAGCAATAATATTTTATTTCCATTATGTGGTCTTGACACCAATGAGGATTAGCATCTGGTGACTTATATTGAAGGATTATAAGCACATTTTGTATTTCCTTTTGATCAGCACCTCAGCCATATTATTTGTGGTGTTTGGCACCTACTTACAGATGGGTGTCCTTGATATACAGGCTGACTCCACCCTGTAACCTGTGTTGTCAAATTTGTGAAGATTGTATTTTTGTATCCGTATTTCACTGTCATAGTAGTCTTCGGTATGAGCTTCCATTAAGGCCACAAATACCTGTTCTGTACTTGCGTCAATTAGGAGCCCAGTTATCTGTGCAAATACATATGATTTTATCATATTTGTAGTGTTAACATCTGTGGTTCTTGTGTGGAGAGGGATGCACTGTACCTCTGTACTGTCTAGCATTTTACTTGAGTTAATTTTTTACATTTCTCACCATTCTTTTTATATTCCTTATTAAAAAAAAAAGTTCTCCTGGTATATATAGTTGTTGTATTCTTAATGAATTCTTTTGGTTTTATTTACCTATAGTTCCTATAGTGATATGAAATACAATGCAATCTTTCTTATTCAAGAAATTTGTACAGTTTTGGGTGGGAAAATGTGCAACTACCAGAGCAACATGTGCCTGTATTTAGGATATTTCTGTACTTAACTGAATGATTATATTTATATGTTCCACTAGTTCTTGATAGCCCATATGTAATATATCCCATGCATAATATCGACAGGTTCCAATTTCGTGCTTTGGATCCCTTGGTCTACCTGTGTCTATTCATCTAGTTGTGCTTGCAGGGGTTGAGCTCTGCTCTTTCGGCCCGCCTCTCAACTGTCAATCAACTGTTACTAACCATATATTTTTTTTCCACACCACACACACCCCAGGAAGCAGCCCATGACAGCTGGCTAACCCCAGGTACCTATTTACTGCTAGGTAACAGGCGCATCAGGGTGAAAGAAACTGCCCATCGTTTCTCGCCAGCGCCTCGGATCGAACCCAGGACTACAGGATTACGCGTCCAGTGTTCTGTCCGCTCATCCACCAGCCACCGGGATTGGAGAAGTTAAGAAATGCAATAGTCATACAGTAATAGAGCTTTGAGCATGATATAATAGGAAAACCAACTCCATTGTAAGTTCTGAGTTAGGACTTTGCAAAAGTGCATGACCAGCATGCCATATTAGTCAAACCATTACAATTAGTAGGAAGGTATTACAAATAGTTATACAGTAAAGTACTCAGACAGCCCATTATGAAAGTTACTTTAGTATAAAGGATTATAAAACAGCATGTTTGGAATGCAGAACAGAAGAGGTGATTAAAAAGCCAAAAAGGATGCAAACCATTGTAAAAACAAAATCCCAAAAATACCAGGGCACCTAAACCTTCTCCTAGGGCAAATGTACTGACTATTTTCCTTGTGAGAGGGTGGTCTGACCTCTTGTTACTCACTTAGCATTTTCACTTACTTTTCGTCCAAATTGTCATTACGGTAGTTGCAAGTTGAACCTGTCATGAACCAACAGTATTGGTACATCAGACAAAAGTAAAAGGAACTAACTCAACAATTATACCAAAGCAAAGTTATAAGAAAACCATGACAGTGGTTTGGGAGAAAAGCAGCTGGTATATAGTATGAAAGAGGTGGAGGAACATCTCATAATGAACCACATCAACTGAACATGCAGCTGTGAAGTGGCAAAGGGAAAGCAAAGAATACTGTACATTGAAGTTTATACAGTAATCATTATTGGAGTACTGAGCGCTAGTGTGAAAGTTTATAGGGCAAAATTTAAAGCAAATTTGTCAATAGGGAAGTAAGAACCAGTAGTGCTAATGACCTTAAAGTGTGAACCAAGCTCATTCAGAACAAACATTGGGGTCTGAGAAGTCAGCAATGTCAGAACCCCCAAAAATGAAGGATAAACATACAGTATATGACAAATGAATTTACAGTACCAGCAATCTTGCAAGCCCTCTTCCAATTATGGGGAACATTGGCGTTATCAACAGTGGAGACGTAAGTTGCAGATGAGGAGTCACATTAACATGGCTGAAAAATGTTGACAAAACCACACACTAGAAAATAGAGACGACGACGTTTCGGTCTGTCCTGGACCATTATCAAATCAATTGTGTGACATAAGTTCTCTTAATCTCACATTCAGCTAAACAAATTGCATAAAAGCTGCTGACTTAATTACTGAATAATTAACAAAAATACTGTAAACAGAGAAAGTCTCGAAGTAAAGAAGGGTGTACAAAAAGAAATAAATGGTATCCAAGATCAGATTGTTGTTAAAATACAGTTAAGCAATGTAGATAAATCAAGCAATGAAGAATAGTCCAGGATGAGCAAGGGAGGGAGTTTGGCCATGCACACAGATTCTGTTGAGGAAGATGGTAGCGGTAGATAGGTCTTGGGAGTAAATGGAGCCATTTTGTTATAGCGGTGTCACTGAAATGAGGGCGAGTGTGATGGAAAAATCAGTGACTAAGGCACTCTTTTCCTCAGGAAAGGAAGTGGCAGCACCTGGCTCAAGTTTCTGGCTGGAAGAAAGAAACAAAGGTGTTGAGAGAAATGATCAATCCAGCATCGATCTTGACCGAAGATGAAAGCCAGCATTCATCTTGGGGAAAGAAGAGTAGAGACTGAGGGCAAGAGTAGAGATGGAACCCACATTGGTAGACAAAGAGAGAAATAGGATCGGCCAACACACGGGCAATAGCAGGAAAGATCAGCGAGGGACCAAGAGGGCTACTTTTAGTTGTAGACAGCGGACAGGAAGGAGAATGAAGCACATCAGTTTAAGTCACAGTGGCGAGGACATGAAAACAATTCTGGAGAGGGTGGGGGTTAAGGCAGGGAGGGTAAGGGGTTCCCATGACCCAAAGAGCTCTTTGGGAGTTTTGAGAGGTGGGGGTTTTGCTTGTACACTGTCATAGCAGTCAGGAGAGGGGTTAACTTGAGATGATTTCGGGGCTTAGCGTTCCCGCGGCCCGGTCCTCTACCAGGCCTCCTTTTTGTTACACAACCCCAAGAAGCAGCCTGTAGTAGCTGTCTAACTACCAGGTACCTATTTACTGCTAGGTGAACAGGGAGCATCAGGGTGAAAGAAACTTTGCCCATTTGTTTCCGCCTCCGCCGGGATTAAACCCGGAACCTTAGGACTACGAATCTCGCACACTGGCCACTCGGCTGTAAGGGCTCCCTCCCCCTGACAGCTGAGGAGGGGACACAAACCACCCACACCTGCTGACACCAATACAAAAAAACTCCACACCACATTATGTTTACTCTCATGGGCAGGAGCTTTTCCCCACAGTTGTATCAGCCATTCTTGTAACCAATCAGTGGTAGTATATAATCACACCCATATTAAAAGTTATGTTTTACACCCATATTAATAGTAACATGCATAGCAGCAACGAGAAGCTTGCATTTAACATTTATTTTACAGTTATGCAATATATATATACCAAGAACATGTCGGATATTTAAAAACCGCCATCTGACAATTAACTCCCCTGCAAAAAATATAATTAGCTTTTTCATGGGGTGGGTTCAATATACTTTTACTATTTATTACTAGATAACTAAATATGATCCATAATTAAGGGGGATTAGGGTCTAAACCCAACTGAAAGGTGTGTGGTAATTCACTGCTGATCATATCCATTAAAATAACAATGTCCCAAAAGCAAAAATTAGCCGGTGAGCATAACTTTCATGTTTGTGTACATGTATGTGCTCACCAAGTTGTGCCTGTGGGATTGAGCTTCAGCTCTTTGGTCCGCATATATTTGTTTCACATATTTATGTATGTATGTATGAATGTTTATTTTTTATATATATATATTTATCAGCCTATTGAAGAATATTCACAGTATTTTAATGGGCAATTTCATAGTCCAAGGGTATTTCTTAGTTTACACATTTATGGAAATAAATAACAGTTCATTTAACCAACTTTATTGGTTCATTGGGAGTTCTTCAGTGTAAGAGTACAGAGGTAGAGACTCACAGAGCCTACCATCACATGACCTGCAGGACCAGTGTGGCGGCAGACACTTATGTCATACCCGGGCGCCGACACACTAAGAGCCAGCCCAGACCAGCCACCATGCCTCCACCACTCGTGCCACCATTTGGATACAATAAATTTAATGTTTAGCCTCCCCCAATTTGGGGTATGAAATATATCTCAACAAAGATTACAGTAATTGTGAAATATTTTCAAGGAATCTATGAAGCAGCCAGTTCTACGCAGTTGTGTATACAGTATTTAAAGAAATAAAATGAGCCGTCTCCAGGGAATACATTCAACATGGTCAATGTGATTCGGAACAATTATAATGAGATGTTCAGATTAACTAAATGGAAAGCATTTAATGTAATGCAATGTAATTATCAAAAGGAGGCACCAAGCCGGGAAGGCTATGTAGCACCATCAAATGTGTGGGACAATCATAGGGCTCTAAATATCACTAAGGATGCCAGTACGAGAACAGAAATGCATAAGGCGAATGACATCAAACGTATCTGATTCTCCAAGAATTCTATCAAGGGACAAGTGACCGCGAGGGATGGTCGGGAAGCAAGACACGTTCGTCCAGGAAGTTAGGACACTCGACAAGGATATGCACGACTGTAAGAGGGGCAATGAGTTTGGATAATAATGAGCAGGATGGCGCTCCATTAAGTGTCCAGGAGTTATGCGTGTATGGCCAATACACAACCTCGCCAGAGCAGTTTCCCACTGTCAGTTATGGTGGTAGGAGGAAGGCCATGGGGACATTATTCTGACCAAGCTCCTACAGTTAGTGACATTTACCCATGTACAAAAATATTATAAAAAAAAAATAAAAATAAAACTATTTCCCAGATAAATTAAAAATAATATTGTTCAAAGTGTTTAAGGAAATCAATATTAACGTCAAATTTATCTCATTAGCCAGAGCACATCCAATTCTACCACTAGTACGTCAATAAGGTATCCTTTGGGTGGAAGCCCTTTATAATGTTCTATCAAATGTATTTTATCTTTTTTGCTATCTAATCAGTTAGGTAACTAAATTTGAGAACAGATACACAACATTACTTGCAAGAACTGACTTGAGATTCCCATTAAATACCATCAGGCAATTCTGGACATTACATGATCAAAGTATTTTTTATATTTTAAAGAAAATTGCAAATTTGTGTGGCACAAAGCCAACTTGTCCAAATATTTCTGAATTCACAGATTACTGAAGTAAGCAAAAGGAAATGGAAGATGAGAAGACATTCACTTTGTACTAGAAATTACATAAATTAACATATATTTGAACTGTTGCATGACTATTGTTACCAAACTTGTAGTTTGCTTATGAGTTTGATTTGCTACAACAGGAATGATTGGGTTGTAATTATGGCTGATAATTTGGTGGTCAACATAATTCAGTTTATCACTAGGGATGCCCAATAACTATACTGCAGAATGCTGCAGGAACAAAATATCAATGAAGCTGACCACTAAATTTCAGCATAAAACAACTAGTCAGAGAGGAGAGCTTCAGAATGAGCAAGCCATGAGTAGTAATCTAACATTAGAACTCATGGCAACTGAGGTACATCTGGCACAAGTTTACAGTAAACAAATCATAACGTATGAGTACAATGATGCTGGGTGGATAACATGGCACGGCGGCAGATGAATCAACTGGGATTCTTAATGCAGATCAAAGCTATCAATTCAGCTTGTGAAACTCTTTGGGAGATTTGAGATTGGTATTTTGTGGCCTAGCTAGCATTTATATGGGCATTTCTAATAAATCGGAACACACATGAAATGACAGACTTATGTTCTAGCTGGTCTGGGTGGGTTGTTCTCGTAAGCTACACCATGGCACAAATTGTTCACTGCCTGCTCTTCACAGGTAAATACAGGAGCTCACAAAATTCTTGACAACAAAACATTAAAAAATCTTGCTACAAATGATCTTAATTTCAAAACACTTTCATTTACACCATCCACTTTTATTTCTCACTTCATTCAAAATGTTCCAACACAATCAAGTACTTCCTTATACTTTTGCACACTAATCATTTTAATAAACATCTAAACATTCTTGAATAGGCTCCATGTTATTGACTGAGAATACCCTGTGAAGCTTAATGATGCTATTGATACATACTGTATATTGTAAATATAAATCAGCCTAAGCTGAAATCGGTGGAATCAAGACAGCACACTTTAAAGTAACTGTACACTACATATTTGTCTTTCTTTTAATAAATTCTCAGAATCAAGAGTACACCTTGTCTACTGCATCTAGCTACAAAAGCTCAATCTAATGTAAAGTTGTACATTGCAGATGATTTTTCATAGAAAAGATGCTTCCAAGATATCCATAATGTTCCTCCTGTAAAACATAACAAATTTGAATTATTCACAACACAGGAGTAGGATGCTTCAACTAGCCAACAGTACATTGACCCAGAGGGAAGAATGCAAACATCACTAAACCCTCCAAGGTGCTACTTTGGTGTCACTAAAAAAACAAGGCTCCTGTTTCTGTTTTTTCCAATTGTTTTCTTTCCTCAACTCCCTGAAATGCCTGTATTACATTTTCCATCTATTAGCCTGGCTTGCTAGCTTGAAAGACGAGAGAGTGCCACACATAATAACAACAATAATTAGCAAAGTAATGAGTGGAAGGTCCAAGACTCAAGCAAGAGTTCAATGTTTTGGGCCATCACTTGCTAAATCACAGATATCTACACAAAGACACACATGCACTTCCGAGTTAGGTGCCTGCACACTGCAGTTTGTGGCTTTTAAAAGGAATTTGTGTGCAGCACAGGCCCCAATGAGATCATTTGGTGGACTTTTTGTGGGGCAGGAGCAACTGGGCGCAGTAGAGGGACTGCAGCCCTACCAACCTGAGTGGGCAGGGACTTTTGTCCCCTGATTGTACTCTGTTGACTGGTGGGATGAGAGGCCTGGTTCCCCCTACCAGGCCCCACCATCACACACTGTCTTCTCATGGCCTGGAACACAGCTTGGCTTTTAACACCACTCACTCCAATTAGTGCAAGGAGCTTCGCAACACTGATCCATGACGCAATTTTTTCTTCTGGTGTATGCTACACCGAAGATCAAAAAGAGCCAATTAAGTCAGACCAAGTGTGAGTGTGTGGCCAGGTGGGGAGGCCAGGGGTGCCGGGGGTAACGGCCAAGCCTACAAATGGGAATCTGGAAGTGTTGCCATCCAGACTCAGGGACTGGCTTTTATCCTTTTGCGAGGGGGCCCAATGGGTGGAATTTGTTGAGTAGCCAATGCCCTAAATGCTTCAGCAATAAGATGTGGATGCGACTGTATCATAGATTTCCATCCTTGGGTCTCCATAACATCTGTTGCATGTCTGTAAAATCAAAGCAGAAATGCATTATTCAATCTATACATATTTAGTATGCAATAATACAAAAAGGAACTGCAAATGAATTCTCACACCTCTTATAGTACACAAAGTATCATTTTTCTATGCCTATAATATGTCAAAAGACACAGTATAAATATGAAATGCAACAATTACAATTGTTGATTGCACTCTAAAAATATAATTGTAAACATAGTTACGAGATAAAAGTGGAGAGGGTAAAGAGAGTCTATACAACAGAGAAAAGAGGCTGTCAGACAATATGAAACATCAAGCAGGTACAGTATTAGACACACTTACGTATTTATAAATTCTATGGCTTGAGCTTTAAGTTGATCTGCAGAATGGAGGTCAGCAAGTATTAGAACATCTGCAGCATTTTCAGTGCTCAGGTTCGTACATAATGCTTCTTCACACATCACTTTCAGCCGCTCCAGTGCATACTGGAAGCAACAAAACACAATGTAAAGTGTCCTTCAATTCTGTAATATGTTAATCAAGACTACCTACTGAATTAAATCTATTAAGAGCAAGTATTCATCTCGACAGAAAAAAAGATTTAAATACAAAATCTCATCATCACTACTAACTTGGTACACCACAAATCTTCAAACAACCCACCATTTACTTCAAACTGACCTTTCACCCAAATTTTGCTTTACTGTTTATAAAATAACCACACATTTAATAAAACAGAACCCACTAACACCCTGATCTCGAATTTCTTAAAAAACTTTCTATACCGAGCTCATCTCTCAATTTTGAAAACTGGGGATGTGTCGCAGATGGAAGGTAAACACAAATGTCATGTTCTGCTGTATGTGAACCATGCACTGCATAATGTGGTTTGCATATTTCCTGGTGAAAGCCACAGCCTATCTCGAATGTATTATTGTATATAAACTCCCTCACACGAGTAGATCTAATTTCATCACACTGAATATTTTACCAACAGTTCTCTCTACAGCTAGCTATTCACCTACAGTATTTGTGTTCGTCTCAATCTAGAATTCCAATTGATTTTCCTAACTTTTGACTATTATAATCACAATCTAGTATACATTATTCCACCTATCACGCGTCTATGTGCTAGCATGAATACAACAATCTTAGACTCGGTTACAGTGTCTGGTGCTTTTCTTCTTTGATATTGTATCTTTTGCACAAAATTTTCAATGCAATTCATAATTCAAATAATGATTTTTCTAGTGTTCCATCTAACATGTGGTGTGGAAAAGCTACATGCAATAATGAGTAAATAAACACACAAAATTAATGTTTCAGTCAGTCCTGGACCATTATCAAGTTGTGTCATGACCTGATAATGGTCCAAGATGGAACAAAACTCTGTTATTTCCTTTATTTTAAAATTAGTGGGTTGGGTTTCCGATTTTCAGCCATGCTATTGCAACCTAATGACACACTAACAAAGACAGTTAAACATGAAAGTATTGAGGTAAGCACTGCACAATTAATCAACGATATTCAAAGTTTAAATCATAAATTACTTTTTCAACAATAATTTAGCTACAAATACTTTAGATATTTAGTTGATCATGGATTCAATCAATCCGAATGTGTCAGGCAGAAATGGCTAAATATGCTTTGAGAGTACTATACACGAATTATAGAGCCGATATACAAAAGTCACGAGTGGAGACAATCTTTACTCGGATGGGTGGTTAAGGTGATAAAACAAATATCTAATACTGATGAACTTCAAAATCGTACTGCTTATGATGTGTCCAGACAAATAAAAAGGGGTATACTATACATGACAATGAAGGACAAATGCTCCGATGCCTTGTATATATTTTATCTAAAGACTTCATATGATATTTGAGCCAAGTCATGAACATCAACGACTCGTTTAAGTTCCATCTCCAATGCCAACACTGGATATTTACGTTTATAGAACCACATATACAGTATTGCATTGTTTAGCCGTGTGATTACTGCATCCACTTCAGCCTCAGCCTCTGCTAAACTGACTTCTTACTGTATTTTCTGGGAACTGTTATCATTAACACACTCAGACATTTCTCCAATTACTTTCACACTACATATGCAACTAATACTTTCTTTATTAACTGCTGCACAACTCACTTTGTCTGCCGCTGCTAAAAGGTCGTCGGCCATTTTTTCTAAGTTGGTCGCTTTCCCTGTGTAAATGAAGCGTAGCATTTCCCGTAAAACTTCATGATCGACATCTTGAATTTCTACTCGATTGTGTTTTCTTTCTTCCATTTCGTGCGCAAACATTGCAGCAAACACTGGTGATCGTGCTGAAAAATTTATTGTTATTAGTTATCAAGGCGGTATACTCATCCCACATCCGAGTGTGACCCAAGATAACTCATTCCTACTTGCATATAATCACTATCCTATTTCCTACTTTCACTGGGAGAGGCATCAGCCCAAAGAAGAAAAAATACTTGAAATATAGTTAATGGAAATCACAGGTAACAAATTATATAAAAAAATCATAGATAATAATAATAAATCATTAAGATATCATGCATCAATTCATGACACGATTTACAATACAATAAACAGTATACTGTAGTACCATGAATATAGCATAATACCATACCAACAGTCATCTCGGCAGCATCATACCACCACTTTATACGTTAAGTGTGCTCCCTCATAAAATGCATTACACTGTACAATACTGTACATACAAATCATTTATACCCTTCTTACAAAGCACTTCCACCCGGCCTTGCCCCTTTACCATATCTAGTGTTGTCCCACACACACTTTTCCTCAACTTTCTCAACCACTCGCTCGCCAAACCCCTTTTATGCCAGTCTTCCTCTGTTCCTCCCATTCTGAAATTTGCCTTAATTCACACACTTCAGTAGTGTACCACCAACCATTCATTTAGTAAAAGCAAGTAAAAACCACCTTGATATCTTCTTAATCTTGCAATTTGACAGATTCAAACTCTCCATCTCTCTCTCTCTCCCCCTATCCATCTCTCGTGACATTTTTTATCACTATCTATATAAAAAACAATGCATATGCTTCTCAGATTGCCCATTAATACTAAACTTGACTTTTTATGCTCATTCCATACTACCTTGAATCTGTGATGATTTGCTGCCAATTTTCCCTTCTCCAAGTAATATGTCACACAACCTCATCAGTCCAAAGCCCATCATTATTTACCAAGTGGTTTGTGAAAGAAAAAATCTATACTTTGAATGTAGGCTAAATGGCTTGAGTACTTACAAAAACACTAATTACATCGAGAAACAACAATGCCGTATTACTTGAAAGAAGGTGAAGGAAACGCCTAATACATGTGTAAGTGTATTAAAACCAAATTTATTTACAGCACCTTGTGCAAGGATTTAGGTTGCATCCAAAAAATTGGTTTTAATACACTTACACATGTATTGGGTCTTTCCTTCACCTTCACTATTTTTATTGTTGCATGTATATAGGATGTAAAAAAATAAACAAAATTTAAGTCCCAAACATGTAATTTTCCCCCACATAACCTTAAGCTCAATTGGCACAAATCGGCTAGTATAAGGTTTTCCCACATTGCAGCCCTGAAGCATTGCTATAGGGACAGGTGCAGTAAGCAAACTACAACCCTCCAATGTTAGTTTTTTATTTAATTCATTAGCTTTCTAAGCTGCCACTAAATAGCTAATCAAAACACTTATGTACTATACTTCTAGCAATACAGGGTGCAGTACTACACATTCTCATTGTGTGTATACCAAAGTCTAAATGTGAACACTAGCAACAAAGTAAATAACTTGTAACCCAAAAATTACTCACTGAATTTACTGTATTATGTAAATGCATAAGGTGAGAATTGCAGAAGGTTGACAAGTGGACAGATAAATGGGAATGTTAAAGACACATGGGAGAATGTTTAATGGTACCTTGAGGCTACCTTGAGGTGCTTCCGGGGCTTAGTGTCCCCGCGAGAGGTTAAGAGAATGGTGAAGAGATTAAAAGAAATACTTTGAAAGTATAATGAATGGAATTAATCCGTGAGATGCAAATACGTTACTTATATAGCAAAAACGTGGGTAGGTTACTTATGTTGACGAGGAATATGTAGAAATTATTAAATGTTGCAGGAAAATGGAATATAAGGGGGTGAGGATATTTTGCCAGAAGACACAAGATAGTACAGTAGTTCTGTGTTAGACAACAGCGAGACAACTACTGCAGTAACACTTCATAACAATACAGAATTTAGAAAGTAAGAATTATACAGATATTAGTCAACAAACTGTAGTGGGCAAATTGTAGCTATCTGAATAACACATGGATACAGTAAGACGTTTACCAGTGATGAGCAAGATGGGTTCTATTGTAGAAAAGGGTGCATGAATGGGATACCTAAATTGGCTCGGCTTTTAAACAAGTTGTGCAGGAGATTTTAAGGTTTAAATGGCATTAATTTACTTGGAAACACCACATGACCAAGTTAGTGTAATAGAGAAGAACTTTGAAGAGTAATGCACATGTATAGAGGTGGCAGAGATATGTTGAATGTTGTGAAAAATTTACATGTAGAAAGCAGTGCATGAAAATCTAGTGAATTGGAACTAAATACAGTACAGGTAAATGATTATTCAAATAATATCAGCTTACCTGCAAGAATAGCTTTGTGTGCCTGAAATTCCCTGCCAGATACTGAAAGCGTCACGTCAGAAAACCGTTGAGACTCGAATAAACCCCCGAGATCATCAGAAAGCCGGCAGTCAGGAACCTTGAAGTGTATAGCATTGCTCTGCCCCGAGATGTTCACGCTGTCTGCAACCACCGAGACCTGCGCACATTGGATCTTCAGGGAGGATGCACAGAGGAAGCCATTATTATGACTAGTTTCATTTACTACAGTAGAGCATCAACTACAGTATTATAAATTTTACTATTTACTATTGGATAAAGCCAGGAATATCCATTTCTTCTAGTTTAATAAGCTTTTCATTCATTATTGCAACTAGCCCAGTAATTTGTATGTAGTCTAATAGATCACTAACCTCTGTCCATGGAGGACAGAAGAAATTGTATATATGCTAATTAGCATTGTATAAAAAACTAAGTGACTAACAAGATATTTCTTAAGATGGGAGTTTTGCTTATGTAGTAATACCAAATGTTAATTTCTCATCCCAAATACATGTGATATTAGATAATGATAAAGTCTGAATTAACCTAGAGATGCAATGTTCTTTCAGTAACAGTTTTCAAAGTTTTGTCTCCCATTGAGATTTTGGTGAACTTATGCCTGCAAAACTCCCAGTTACCTATTGAAAGGTAAATCTTAAAAATTATAGTTTCTTGTTTAGACACCTTTTTTTCAATCCAAAACAACTTGGTACCATACCTATTGTATGGATGAGTCTACGCTAAATTCTCTAAAATGCCCAAATCAAACCCTCTTTCTCTGCCCAAATCTCAGTGCTGAATGATATCACCAATCTTCAAATCTGTCTTTCAATGGAATATCCTGAATATCTGAAAGGTTGCTGCTCTACTGTAATAAAATCTTAATAAAACACTGGTAGTTGAACTAAGAAAGTCTTAACGAGATTAGTAAAGGTTAAGACAATTATTTAAATCTAAATTATACAAACTATTTTTTTCACAAAGCCCCAAGAAAATAATCCGTGGCTGATAATTTTAATGCCATTGATTTTCAGAGAGATACAATTAAAAAATAAATGCCAGAATCTGCATGGGCAAACTTTTGTGAAATTTTAGGTTAATGTGACAAGCTGAAAAATAAATAAAGGCCAAACTTACCTCACAGTATAGAGTTAATTTATCATCAGGTAACAACCCATTGGCTTCATCTAAGAGGAAATCTCTCCGTATAAATTTCTTAAAGCCCCAGTCCTTTCCCTGCACAAATCTATATGCTCTTTGGCTCTCTGAAAAAAAAATAATAATAATAATAAAATTGATGTAAATGATTATTTGCCTTTTAACTTATCCATTTATGGCAATTACTAGTACTGTAATGCACATTTTTAATTTTAACATATCAGTATGAGTTAACTTTACAGTTAACAACAGTTAATTGTTAACAACAGTTAACTGTTAACAACAGTTATAACAGTTAACTTTTAAGATCCTAAAACCACAAAATATACAGCACATGAAGTCATAATTTTAAAGTAAACTGCTTTCTCTTAAAAAAAAAGCAGTCCTGATAATTTTGGCTAATATGACCATTTAAAATAAAATCAACAAAGACTGAGTTAACAAGGTTAACTACTGTACTGTCTTCAAGTACAGAAAAATAGCTTTATATGAATTTAAATGATTATTAAAGCTATGTAATAAACATATGAACATTAAATCCATCAATTTTTCAAATCTAATTTATATATTATCTTTATATATTATCTTAATTTACAATAGGACTTGCTTACTACTTGCTAACAGGACTGAATAGCATTTAGTTGTCAAGTATTTTCATATACTGAATAGAAGTTACACAAATTGTTGTACAGTATAGCCAAATCTGATAAAAACTACAATACAGAACAGTATAACCAAATCACACGAGTGAGCGCAACATTCCACAAGAAGAGGACACTTACCCATAGCTTTAGTTTCTTCTCTCTTAGCATTGAGTATAGAGAATTTGAATTTGGCTCTAACTTCTGACTTATTGGATGACACCAATAGAAGGTAAAGAGAAAGGTAGTCCTTACTTTCTTCATCCAGACCCTTTGGGTTCACACGTAAACACCTGAAATTGAAAATGATTCTATCAAAGACTTGTGACATACATTTGTGCACTGCTACCACATGATAAATTTAAGGCAACTGTGCAAGTTGAATAATAAAATGATATTTTTTTCTATTTGTTTATTAAAAATTATTATTTGTAAATAAAGTACTAAATTATTATTTGTAAATAAAGTACAAATTGGGTGGATCATTACTGTTGTTCAACATTCAATTACAATTCTTATTGGCACAATACTAATTTTTCTAATGCTAATAACACTAACAAATTCTTAGAGAGCATTATATTAAAGGCTGGAGGAGGTGACTTGAAGAACCTAAACTCTAATGCAGACTACATTATTGACGTTGTTATTTTTGTTGAAGATTTTCAAGAACAAAAAGTTCCAAGCAGCACGGGCTATGGTGAGCCCGTTGTGAACTTACCTGGCACAAGAGTGGGGCTGTAACTTTATGTAGTTGTGTAATGTCATTCTTGACTTAAACTGGTGGCAAGGGGTAGGGGATATTGCGCTTTCTGTAAACTGCTGGCAATGGGGTTGGGAATATTACCCTTGACGAAAACGAGTGGTTTAAGAGTATGGAATTTTGCCCTTGATATCCACCGAGGATGAAGGATTGGGAATATTGCCGACGTAAAAATCTTGACGAGAAGTCAGGCATATATCCCTTGGAGTGAACCGGTGTTGAGGGGGGTAGTGAGTATTGCCCTTGATACAATAACCTTGACGCCCCCGTGCTATAATCTCGCCGGACAAGGCCCTAGCCTCATCCTGCCCACTCTTCAATCTTGCCTACCTCAAGTGCGCTTTAGCTACTCTTGTTTATCAAACCCTTCAGGCACACAATGAATGCGCCACGTTGCATAAACTTGTATTTTTAGCTTCTCTTTAAGGGTGTTCTGGGCCATTAATCCCCCAATGCCACGTGGAAAATTTATCTTAATTTTTTTTTTGTAAATTTCCTGAAGTTTAACCAGAATTTGTTCGCAATGGCTATGATCTATAAATATAATACCTTAATTGTTTAAATATATTTGTATTATTCCGGTAAGCGGCGAGACTAGTTATTTGCATCATAACCTGTTCCATATAATTCAAATTACTTCATGCACGTATTAGCAATACAGCAAAGTACCGCACTTCGTGTACCATCAATTTGTGTTTATTAACCCAAATGTCTTTAGTCTTCGCTCAGAGTCTAGCCAATCTTAGGCTAGGATATTATATATGGCGAGAAAATTTAAAGTACGTCTTGGACATACGAATCACCTCAGACTAACAAAATAAAGGGTTGCGGATCAAGAATAAACACTACCGAAACTTTCTTATCTCACATTCCAACTCGTACCAAGAATAAAATCGCCATTCAAAGTAACAGCTCATTAAAAAACACATTAAAAATATTAATGGCAAGCAATATTTTAACCACTAAGAAACTCGCACAACTGCGATTCGACTGTCAAGTTTCCTGGGCAAAGTGAGATGAACATGACTCCACCTCTCAGACGAGGGTCGCCGCCTCCAGGTGGCAACAGTTACTCAACCCTGCGCCACCAGTGAATAGGTTTTCTCTGGCTAGTTACCTCATTATTTCAATCTTGAAAGTTTGAATATTAAAAACATAAAAACACGTGAACTTGCCAACTGCATTCACATGTGATCGTGTGCGGGCACTGTAAAGAAAATAATCTTCGTCATATTTACACATTTTTTTTGGGTGATGATTACTCACCATTTTAGTTTGTCATTGGCACCGGCAGAAAAAGTAGAGGACTTAAGAACTTCTCCCATCTCCTCTCTGCAGAAACTGAAGTTATTGATGGTCCACATATAACTGAATTTGATTACTTTCACCTGTAGGGAGAATTAATCGTGGTTAACATATTAGCCCGAACATAAATAATAACAATTTTGCTCTACCTACCCCTAATTTATACCCCTCCCCTGGTTCCTACCCCCACAAGCTTGTACTTCCACTGCTGCCCACCTCAACTGCCTCTCAATGTTTTATTCCACTGCCATTTATTCCCTATCTCAAGTCCCTCAACAAACATGCATTTAACTCGACCTGATAAACCACCACTGCATCCCCCTCCCCCTCCCCGCTTCCTCCCAAGAGAGGGTGCGTTGTGCACCGGAGATGGTCGTTCCGGCGCGCCTAAGATGGGGAGGGAGATGCTGTATCATCTGTTACCATGGCAACGGACCTCCCCCCCCCTCTCTCTCTCTTTCTTCTGAAATTTCACGAGTACACCATACGAGGTGATGAATTAAGCTGCAGATATTGATTAAATATATTAAGATAGTCCTGTGGTTGCACCAATGCACCAATAAAAAAAAACAATTGCTAGAAGACTCAGCCCAAGAGGTGGAACTTACTACCTAGACCCAAATAGGCAAGAATAAACAGGAAAACGCAGGCGCGCGCGCACAAAATCCTCATGACTGGGAGATGGCGTTAGGCGTAAAATAGGAAGAAGGGAGAAAAGAAAGGGAATGGAAGAACAACTATCGGGGTAGAACGATGGCAGGAAATAAGGTGTTAATGAGATAGAAAAGAGGGCTGGAAATTGGAAAGATAGAGAATAGGGTAAAAAAAATATTTTGTTAATACAGAACCTTAAGACATTGGAAAGAGAAAAAGGGTACGTGAGAAGTGATATGGAAAAAGATAACGGGGCTATGCAATACTGAAAAATGATTGGAAGTAGTGCGGTTTGTGAAGTGAGAAGAGAAAAGCTTGCTTTATCAATAGGAAAGAGAGCGAGCGATAGACAGAATTAATGAATGGTGAGAATGAGAGAGAGAACACGGCTGTACGTGACATACCTGAGTGTAGCACCAGTTCTCAGCTACAGGCATATTATTCTCTGGAGGGAGAGGGGAAGGAACCCGGGACACCGACATGCTGACGCCTCCTGAAGACACGTGGCCTGCTCCTCCTCCGCCGCCGTGAACTGAGTGAGCGTGACCCACTGCAACACAAGGTCACCGCTGGTCAGTGCACAGTCTTATCAATACGCATCTCACCCCAAACATTGCTGTTTATGCCACACTTGCAGTGGCAAATTATATTATTATTCGTTTTTAATTATGCAAGGGTTTGACAATTTATTCAGGCAAGCAGAAAGTTTTCCCTGAAGTTGACTTAGGCAAATTTCAAAGCAAAGTTGAGGGTGAACATTAGCTATTTTCTATATTTTGGAGGCATAAGCAATCGGGAAAATAACACTTTATTACCTAGGAATAAAATAGTTTTAGTGTCAGATTACAAAGGTATTCTGATGACCTTAGTTTTCTCACCTACCAAATACCTTATTAACAATACCCAGACTAACCTACTCTGAGGTTAGGTAATGATGATAGAGTTACAAGATACGAGCTAGATGGTGTTGAGATTGCGAAGTCGGATTGCGAAAGAGATCTGGGAGTTATGATTAGTAAGAATTTAAAACAAAAGGATCAATGCATAAATGTTCGTAATAAGGCAAATCGGACACTTGGATTTATTAATCGCAGCGTTAGTAACAAGACACCTGGTGTGGTTCTCAAGCTATATCTTGCTCTAGTTAGGCCCCATTTAGATTATGCAGTTCAGTTTTGGTCGCCATATTATAGAATGGATATAAATTCACTTGAACGTGTCCAGCGTAGGATGACTAAGTTAATTCCCCAAATTAGGAATCTTTCATATGAAGAAAGATTAACAAAGCTTAAGTTGCATTCACTGGAAAGGCGAAGAGTTAGGGGTGACATGATAGAGGTTTACAAGTGGGTGAATGGACATAACAAAGGGGATATTAATAGGGTATTAAAAGTATCAACACAAGACAGAACACGAAACAATGGGTATAAATTGGATAATTTTAGATTTAGGAAAGACTTGGGTAAATACTGGTTCAGTAACAGGGTTGTTGATTTGTGGAACCAATTACTGCGTAACGTGCTGGAAATGGGGTCCTTCGATTGTTTCAAGCGCGGGTTGGACAAGTATATTGGGTGGTTATAAGAACATAACATAAGAACATAAGAACAAAGGCAACTGCAGAAGGCCTGTTGGCCCATACGAGGCAGCTCCTATTTATAACCACCCAATCCCACTCATATACATGTCCAACCCATGCTAGAAACAATCGACGGACCCCACCTCCACAATGTTACGCGGCAATTGGTTCCACAAATCAACAACCCTGTTACTGAACCAAATAAAATATAAATAGGTTATAAATAGGAGCTGCCTCGTATGGGCCAATAGGCCTTCTGCAGTTGCATTTGTTCTTATGTTCTTACTTTATAGATGTCAAGAATACAGTTATTGCATTCTTGACAGGACAATGCAGCAATAATAAAGACAGCATTCCTTAAGAGCGGCAATACTTTGCACCAGATGCAATTCCATTAATGCAGCAATGTTACAATTAAATATTTCATAATTGATTGAAGGCGAATACTTAAAAAGCGAATGAATAAAAACTCTAAAGAAGAACAAAACAAAAAAGAGGCAGTTTCAGAGGTGGAAAAGGACTTGAAGGAAGTTCTTTTCCAATATTTGCAATGTATTACATACCCAAAGCTGGGTGGTGGGCAGGGGGGGTATGGGCCTGATGCGGCACGGCTGGGTGCTGCTGCTGCTGCTGGACACCCGCGTGAGGTGCGGCCACGTGTGCCGCTGCCGCAGCCAGTGGCGGCGGCCCTTGGTGGGGCTGAGGAGCACCTGCTGCCGCCGCCGCAACTACTGCAACTGCCGCCGCCGCCTGTTGATGCTGCTGAGGGAGATGAGGTTGATGAGCGTTGCCTGCGTTAGGCGCTGGCTGGGGTTGCTGCTGCTGCTGGGCGTGCTGTGCTTGCCCGTTATTACCAGCAGCTGGGAGAGCGGCTGCTGCGATGGCTGGCTGAGGCTGTGCTTGTTGAGGTTGCTGTTGTTGGTGAGGCTGTTGCTGTTGGTGAGGTTGCTGAGGAGGCTGTGGCGGGGGTTGATGTGGCGGGGGCGGGGGCGGGGGGTTGTTATTGGAGTGGGGCTGAGGCGGCAGAGCCCCCGACACGCCGCCGGAGCTCCCGCCTCGCGACTCCACCGTGGCGGCTGACGCGGCCCAGCACAGCCCCGACCCCGACCCGCCTCCCCACACTCTACACACCTGAAACAACAAGTTCAAGTTAGTACACCGAGCATTACATATTACCATACCCCGCCAACGCTTACTACACGACACTTTACACCTTACAGGGATGACCAGACTACACACTAGAAGGTGAAGGGACGACGAAGTTTCGGTCCGTCCTGGGTCATTCTCAAGTCGATTGTGACAATCGACTTGAGAATGGCCCAGGACGGACCGAAACGTCGTCGTCCCTTCACCTTCAAACTACAACTCACTGGGGGCAAACGTTCCCCAATAATGCACGCAATTCCTTAAATCTTTCCATTAATGTTAACAAGTAGTCTAGAGTAGACAAGTCACAGCTTCACATTAGACCTATTTTCATACAAACACATTTGTATCAATATCAGTGATTAGAAACGACGAAGACCCGAATTAAATAACAAATATTCCTCAATCCTCACCCATTACATCCCACTTGTTTGACACATCTTGACTAGAGAGCAACATTTATGGGGTTCATATAATTTGCCATGTTTTAATGTCAAATGTGCGACTTTCGCCACACCGCCATGAAATACAAATTTGTTTTTATTAAATCTTTTAACTGGGTTATCACATTTGTCATTTTGCTCTCTGCTAAATTTAACTTCCCCTTGGGGTCAAGCTTGACCTCGGACAACGTGGTCAAACAGGTTGTTGCTTGGAGAGGCCCACAAATACTCTCAAGGTAATTTAGTGTGGTCGGTTACCTAGTAACGCTCTAATTGTACCAAGCGCCCTAATTATCAAAAGGTTGCTGTATGCTTCCTCTCGTCAACATTCTGCACTTAAAATATTATTATACATGTATCGTAAAATGTCCTTCACGTCATATCATTAAGGATCTATTACCGTTCAGAGTTCGCTTCTGGGAGTTGTCTTGAATTCGTTGGTACGCAGATAAGCCTTGCTTGAAAAACTGAACAGTTTCACGAACTGCAAATGCGATTAAATTAATGGGCCAGATCCAGTGTTTTTCCAAATTTGTCTACAATTAATGCTATAAGAAAAATCTAGATTCTTAGCTACAATTTGATATTTATTTTAAAGAAATCTAACAACTCAATTATTTTTTTTAAGTCGACGAAGATAATTAGATTTTTTGGCTATGGAAAGAAGCGATTCATTTTGGACAAATCGTTTGAAAGTAAATATTTAATTGAAAAGAATTTATGAACGAATTTTTTACGGGAAAAAATTAAAAAACTATATTCTTACATCTTCTGTTAGTTGTTATGCGAATTTTATGGAAACGTCTTACTATATATCTTCAAAGGATACCTGATCAATCAGGCTGTGAGCAGTCGCGTTGAACAGCCCGGTTGACCTGACCACCAACTTGGAGGCCTGGTCAGCGACAGGGCCGCTTGGACGTTGATCCCCGGAATCATTGGCAGGTACACAAATCAACAAGATTTACAAAGTTACGAATATAAATGATGAAAAGTTAATCTAATTATGCGATTTTTTTTTAAATCAAACGAAAACGCTTGATTACTGACTTAATACGAAATATCAAAATTTGCATTAGAAAATATATAGAACTCTGTTTAGTCTTTCTAATAATACCAAACAAATATTATAATAATATTCGTTTAAACGACATGCAAAACGAGAGCTAATTTTTGTAAACTGTTTTAAGGGGTGGAATCTCCCTCTCTTCCTCTTATTCCTGTTAACGTGGTATAAAAAATAGTTCCATTATAAATAGTGAAACACAATTTAAGTTCCCATCGTCGCCCTGTGCCTCTATTTTGAGTAGAGAACACATACATATATGTATGATGATGATACAAGTGTACAGAATATAACAACACAGATTTTAAAGGAAGTATTTGTGTAGAAATAGTCACTTTTCTTGACTTAACTAAACCGAAAGACATTATGTTGCACTGGTTAGGTGATGATGGACTTTTCAAGCTCATTTGGGCATGAACAAGTCCACAAGGTCCGTGATGAGGTTCGAACCCAAGGCGCTTCTGGGAACATCCCGTGCGTAGGTTCGAACCCTCATCACAGCCCTTGTAGATCTGTTCAACAGTCTGGTTAACCAGCCTACCAAACAGGTGTCTTTGTCACAGCACAATCTCGGGGACGTATATTACCTTCCGAAAGGAAACTTTTACAAAGTATATGCTTTAAATTACAGAACTGCTAGACAGATCTTGTAGGTTAATTTATAAGTCAGGTGTTATGCCTTTGATTATAGACCTCCCCACTCCCTCTACTCGGGAAGATGAAAAAATAATTAGGTTAATTGATATTTCACAGTGATATTAACAAGCAATTGCGAGTCTTTCCAATTTGTAATTGGAAATTACATTGGTCTGTAATTTGTTGGTATTAAAGGTGGATAAATATGCCAATTTGCTACATATATCATCATAGGGTCCCAATTATCTTAAAAGTACTGCCTATTAAAATAATCAAACCTTAATGAAATCAACGTTTTAAATTTCTACAGTGAGCTTAATTATGCGCCTCTCTCTCTCAATCTAATTTTTTTAATTATATAGTTATTGTCGTTCCTTGTGAGGACTATGTGAGAATTCAGAACTAGAGAACATGCTCAGTTGCGCAGAAGTTGCCACTGGGCCAAGATAGCTATCCATGCCAAAAAGCCTAACTTACCGTAACTAAAGTTGTGATCCTTGAAACCCGAATGTGAAGGTGTGAACAGGCAAGAAGGTTGTCTTGTGCGGTCGCGTGCGTGTGTGTTTGTTTTATCTAACGTGTTAAAAAAACTAATGACAAGAACTTTGTTTAAACACCAAAGTATCATGCGATTGGCTTTGCAAAAATTGAAAGGCTTAAACAGCAGTGTCAGACCGCAGTGATTAATATATTTACATTAACCAAAAGAGCATTAAGAGCGAATAGAAGACTTGCCCTGGGAAAATAATCCCACTAATGGATTGTCACATTGTGGTGTATGTAAAATAAACTGTAAAATAAAATGTAAAATAAACACCAAAATTAATTAAAATCAAAGCGTAAATAGTGTCTTTAAAATTGAATACCGTATATGGCCTATTAATAGTCGCTTACCCGCGCGTGAACATTTGTTCATGCTTTTTTATACTTAATATTCCAGTCAAAATCATGGGAATTTGGCATGATACTTTATACTGTTATAAATAATGTCATTTATGTGGGAATTCAAAATTTACAAAATACGAATAATTAGTACCAATTAATAAAATAAATTTATCCAGTTCAACGTCTATCAGACTTCTGGTAACTTCCCGATTGATTGATAAAAGATTAAGCCACCCACGAGGTAGCACGGGCATGAATAGCCCCTAAGGTAACTTCCCGATTACCTTGGAGTTATTATAACCCGAGCTGGTTACTGGGATCACTGTACCCTGCGGCCAACAAGGCCGCAGGGTTGCCGCAGGTGCTCGCAGCCTCGCATAGACGTCTACTAGGAGCCGGAGATGGGCCCGTTATGCGCCCTTATATTTAGAGCGCCGGTGTCGAAAAACTTTAGGCCTCTAATGCTTATAGAATTATCTCAGTATAGTTATTGCACCGTACTTTAAAAAGGGGTGATTTTATACATTTGGATAACCTTCAGATCTCTTAGTATGTATATATTTTGAACTAGCCTATCATAATATTTTTCAGGTATAAATTCGTAGTTTTCTCTACGTAGCGGGTTAGCGGGTTAGTTCGACACTGTGAGTTTCCCATAATACATACTAACATTGGCTTGGCATACTAATTATTGTAAAGTTCGTATCGTCCAACATCATACACTTAATGCAAGGTACAGTATTCTGTTGAACTTAAACGTAAGATCTTACTACAATGTAACTGCACACTTTTTAGCGCGCTGGAAGACGTAACTACATTGACTGGGGGTTTGTGTCCTCAGTGGATACTGCTGCTCAGATTCAAATACCTAATCCTTAAAGACAACTTTTCATGATGGAGGCCTCCCAATTTTACCTTTGTTCGCTGCTATTCCACGAGTCTGGGTTGCTAGGACTGATTCACTTAAAAGGTTTCCTCTGGGACCGTAACTAGGTGGTCTTCTGTTCAAGTTTAAACCAATATTTAACCGAAACGACCATAGATTTATGTACCTGGAGTATGAAACCCTATACTGTTTTCCGGATCGTAGGGGCTGTCTACCTCCACCCACCCCCTCCTGGAGGAATTATAATATTCGAAGTGGAAGATTCACTTCCTTATTTTTCGTTAAGCTCATTATGCACATTTTACGAGTGCATATATTATGCACTCGTGGCCATGATGTATTACATCATGGCCACATTCGCCGAGGGCGTTGCTGAAACTTGTACATTATGTCTGCATTCTGAATGTCCTCTCGTGCACCCAAGACCATACCATAAAAACAATTCGTTTACAAATGTCAAGCCAAATATGGGAGATATACGATACCTTCCTAACACGATCTGTGACGAGCTCTTGAAGGAGTCTACCTAAAGACTTGTCTGAACTAATAAGATTTCTCTCTCCGAGTACCTATTGTACCTCTGCTTTTCAACAGGGGTATTCTGCGCATGGCAGGATGTGCAGAATACCCCCGTTGAAGAGCAGAGGTGCAATAGGTACTCAGAGAGAACTCTATCAACATCAGAGGCCTGAGACTGTTCAACACGCTTCCACTACACATAAGGGACATAACTGGCCGACCTCTCAGTGTTCAAGAGAGAGAACTTAATAAACACCTCCAAAGGATACCTGATTAACTAAACTGTGATTGATACGCCAGGCTGCGAGCAGCAGCGCCCAACAGCCTGGTTGACCAGACGACCAACCAGGAGGCCTGGTCGGGGACCGGGCCGCGGGGACGTTGAGCCTCGAAATCATCGCAAGGCAATCTAATCTAACCTTGCAAGGAGTGCTAATCTTACCCCTAAACACGGACGTTCATTAGCGATTATTTTTAAAATGTAAAAAACCCGAGGCACGCTAATTCTAAAAAAAGGGGGCTTAGACAAAAGCATATATTAATTTGTTGC